CTGGCCTCTTACTGATGAAGTCATTCATCAAGCACACGGTCAGCCGCTCCGCTGGGGAGTGTGTGTGTGTGTGTGTGTGTGTGTGTGTGAAGGGGGGTTGATGTGTGTTTGGGGGCACTGGGGGTTCAGGCTCGACATTACACTGAGTTGCGGTGAAGAGCACATCACACCCTGTAATTTAGCCAATAGAGTGCAAACACACATGCACACACATGCACTCTGGGAAATAAAATCGGCCCACATGCACTTGCTGTGGACTGTATGATGCACTGACACATCCCAGAGGACTCCTTCCCCGACCGCGTGTGTGCGCTCAGAATGGCGCGAGCAGCAAAAAGCCAGTGCCATTAACAGGCTGCAGCGTAATTAACAGTTGATTCGATCGCAGGCTAGCGCTGGCATCTGCAATAAAATAAGCTGCTCATTTTTCTGTCTAATAATTTATAGACTGCACCTCTTCACATTCTGTGGTCAGTCCGTTTCTCAGGATATTGCTCCGGCTCTTAGTAATTCACTCTATTGATTGAGTTTAAAGCGACAGGAACACTTTCAATCTTTCTCTGATCTCTCATGCTAAGTTTACTTTTCGTCATGCTGTTAGCGTGTCATGCACACCGCTGGACGAAATTAATAATTCATATTAAGGTAGTGCTCTGTTCAGGTTTCACTTGTTTTGTCATTTGATGCTTTATTTTACAGTGCTAGACTCGACCTGCGATGTCACTCGGTCGTGCGTTACTCTGGTTGCATCTGTACTTACAGAACACAACAATGTCTATATTGAAAAATATTGAGAGAGAGACAGTTGAATTGGTAAGGATCAGGGGCCTCATGTACAATAATTTGCATATGTTTATGCATAATCTAAATAATTTCTCTGTGCATGACCTGCATAATCCATATGCACGTTTCCATTCATGTTGTAGCAACAAGTTTAGCATACCTGCCATGATCAAGTTTACTTTTGGTAAATCCTGATATGTGCATGGTAAATCACGTATGCAGTTCCATGGCCGTGTGCATCATTTATCAGACCCAAGGTCTGTATTTACAGTGATTTGTGGAGCAGAGCTCAATGAAACCGGATCTGTTGTATATTGTGTGTCTGCGGTCAGGATATCTTAAGCTGGGTTTGAAGGGTTTTATGCGCTTTCTGTTTTTTTCCTGGCGGGGGCGAAAAGATATAATGTCATCTCACTCCTTGAAACGTGTCTCTGGTTAGTTGCAGTCATTGGTTTTGTGGTGGCTGGAGGAAATGTGCAGCTCTGTAGTATTTATCACCGGTATGGGATTGTTTTAATGATGCAGAAGAGACCGGCACATGCCTGAAATAACACTGACACATATAATGCAGTTTTAAGACAGCATAGGAGATCAAATTAACACTTACATTCAAAATTAATAAACATTTTTGGTTTACTAGTGATTGGATTTTGGTAGATTTTGATGACACACACACACACACACACACACACACACACATAATCAACGTATATGTATATGTGTGTGTGTGTGTGTGTGTGTGTCATGAATCAGCTGGCTGACAGCATGTGATGACCTATGCCGGGATGCATTCACACTGTAAGACTGAATTCAGCTTTCAGTGTGTGTGTTCAGTGCAGAGAGATAATCTGCTGCTGTCTATGAGAGGATCACACACACACACACACACACACACACACACACACAAGTGTATGTGTGCTTCACAGAAAAACAGACCTTGTCTTGCCAAGTATATGTCAGCACTTTGCAATCAAAAAATTTATTTCTATGTGCCCATTATCATATTTCTTTGTTAATGATTTTAGCATATTAAAAGCTCCAGTGTGCACAAGTAGAAATCTGATTCATGCGTCTCTTTTTCCTTCATTATTTGTTCAATCTTACAATTGTTTTCTGATTAATTGGACACATTCCTGAAATGTTCCCTCCTCCCGCTCTTTAATTAAACCTCGGCCGTTTGTTTCTCAACGTGAGCGTTCAGGGTCAAAATTCAGCTGTGTGTCAGTCGAGCTTATTTTATGCTTTTGTTCCCGGTGACTTTTATACAATTTGCAAGATTGACCTACTAGAAGAGAGATGTGCCACCTACACCTACTGCAGACAGCCCGGTTTATCTTTATCCTCACGCGCGCGTGTGTGTGTGTGCATGTGTGCATGCGTGCGTGTGTGTGTGTGTGTGCATGTGTGTGTGTGTGTGTGTG